ATATATATTTTATACATACTTTATATATTTTATATAATGTAATAATTGTATATTATGGATACAGAGAATATTAATTTGTTATTAAATCTATTTTTTCAAAAATTAATACACGTTATTAACTCAAAGATAAGTAAACACGACTTATTCCAGTATTTGTTTGTGTTTACAATATTGCTATATATTTTCTTTCAAATTTTCTTATTATTTAATTTTGAAAGAAAAAGTTAACTCATTATCCAAATGATTGAAATATATCTTTATTATATAATTAATTAACTTATAGTTATTTGTTATAATATATTGTACAATTACATTTTTCAAAGTCATCTTCTTATTTTTATTTATAATGTAATTATCTTTGTTATAAAAGAGATCAGAAAGTTGGAAAAAAGTACACGCTTCTTTAGAATATTAAATATACTAACCGAGAAACAGAGTCAAATTCGCTGCTGGTCGTCCAGATTTAGCCTTGCAGCTAATTTCCAATTTTTCGCCTTTTCTAAACGTGTTTCCACCAAGACTCCCTGAATTCGTGAAAATCTCAACAGTTTCGGGAGGTTCTGAGAAATTAAGAAGTAAGAATTTCTTTAGATCTTGCTACGCATGTATCGCATGTATCAGAGATCAAATCGAATTAGAAAACAACATAAACGGCGACATTTTCTATACTTTATTCTATACTTTATTATATACTTTATCATTTTTGTTACTCGAATTTGATGCGGAAATAGTAACTTAAATTTAACTGTTTCCATGATATTTTTTCTTGTATTAAAATAACATAAAAGATTTTCCTAAGATATTCACGAATCTTGCCATTTATCTTTATCGGGTTCATCTTAAATAGTAATTTTGCTCCGGGTGCTTATTTCAGTCTCCGTAAGCAATTTCCTTAAGGAAGATTAATTACTTTTCGAATACAGTTCTAGCGACTGGAACAAGCGTTTATTTTTTGCTTCTTGTTTTAATTAATGTTTCTCTTTTCATCGTAACCTCTTTGTCAAAAGTATCCTATTCTTTAATTTATTTATTACTTCGCACTTCACAATCCCCCGTTTACACTCACTTTTAATTACCTTTGAGTTTAGGTGTAATGTAATACATAAAAATAATTATCTATATCTGTGCGATTAAAAATTAAATAATAATTTGCTATTAAATTAGATAAATATTAATTAGATAAATAAATTAAGATAAAAATTTTAAATCAACATATTACAGATTAAAAAACATACAAAGTATAGATCAAAGTGATTATACAAAGTCGATTATACAAAGTGGTTAAAATGATTATGTATCAAATAATAAACGATATACTAAAATTATACATGCTTTTTTTATATTTAATTTTTTATATTTAAAATATAAAAGAAGAACAAATTTTTAAATCTTAATGTGTGTGTGTGTGTGTGTGTGTGTGTGTGTGTGTGTGTGTTGTGTGTACATATATATCTATAGAAAAAAGATATATCTACACAGATATTTCTATTCTAGAAATGACATAATTTTTAAATGCTTTTTGAGGCTTTTATGGATATTTTCTTCAAAGAAGTTACGAAGTTTGAGGATTTTCCATCTTAATACATCGTTTATAGCTTTTTAGCTTTGGAACACAGATATCTTCTTAATAAAAATATAACTTAAAAATATATTTCCTTTAAAGTTCTGATATGTCAAGTTTATATTTAATGATTTCATCGAGCTAGAATATTATCAAAGATAGAAAGTGAGAACTCACTCGCGACAACGATATTGAGAGAAGCAGTTGCTTCTTGTCGAGTATTCTTGGTCGTCAAGGAACATTTGAAGATGCCATGATAACTTTCTTTCACTTTAGCGATACGGACGCCGCACTCGCCAGTAGTTAATCCCTTTCCATAATATTCGATGTTGCCATCTTCCGACGGGGGATCTGACCCGGTTAGCACAATGCTACCCTCGCCAGGTATTTCTACACGGCAAACACGAAGCTCTCGTGGAGCGGTGCAGAGAATTTGTAAAGTTTCACCGACTCGCACGGCTGTCTCTCCTCTTGGCTCGATATTTATGAACATATTCGATTTTGCTGAAAACAGACAAACATACAAAATTAATAATAAGCTCGATAAATTGCAAATAAATCACGTAAGTCTATCACGTAAGTTAAAATTGCGTTGAAGCAGAAATATAATAACATATAATATAAAAACTATTAAAAACTATTTTACATGTTTCATGAATGTGTGTATTTTTGTAATTTAATTATTTCACATATAATTCTATAATTATTCTGTGTCTTGAGATAAATTTCAGATGTAATCATTAATCTTTATTTAAAAATAATGAGAAACATTCTTATTAAATATATACTAAATATTAAACTTTTAAATTAAATTTATATCGCCTTAGAGCGATAATATACAGAAAAAACTTAAACAGTAAAAATATAAATAGTAAATAAGAAAGTTAGTGTTGAATTTTCTACTTACATTATGGCTGCCTCTACGATATGATTCGCTTACATTTTACTATTTAGGTTTTCTGTATGTTATCTATGACCCTAATACGATATAAATTTAATTTAAATATATTTAATCAGAATAATTCTCATCATTTTAGTCAAAAAGGAAATCAATTATCACAATGTCTAAAATTTATCTTAAGATACAGAATAATTATAGAATTGTTATATTTAATTGTTATATATATGGAATAATTTAACATTTTAATTTTATCGAAGAAATATGATTTGATGATTATTCAACATTATTTAATTTCGATATATATTTATATTCAATATTATTAAAAATTATTCCTGCATTTAATATTCATACTGTTTTAAAAGATTTAGAGAAATCGAGTTGCATAAGTGTGACCATATATTATGTATATAAGTTTTCAGAACAATCGAAACGAAAAAAGGAAGTGTTTTAAGCAGTAGATTTTAAGGAACACGCGAAAGTTTCAATAAAAAATCGAGAGAGTGATTCGCATGGACGAAGATGCTACGTCTACGAAGATTTACGAGACAAAAAGAAAAATTGATTAAATCTCCACCTGACTGTTTCTATCGCCTTCGTGCATCTTTTTTATACCAACGCGCTCTGTATCGGAAAAAGACATAGTTGACTTTTTTCTTTCTCTAGTCGCTCTTTTATCATTGTAACTTGACATGTTGGGTGAGTATAATTCTTACGACAATTTCGCATATGTTCGTTGTTTTGCTAATTGATGTGTTATAAAAGAAAAATGAAGTATTTGTATAAAAAAATCCACTTTTTATTTAAAAAACAGAATAAAGCTAATAATATGTTAAAAACAAATTATATTATATAAGTGCAAAAGAGAAATATGTGGAGAAGAAAAAAGAAGTGTGTGTATGGCACAAATATGTAATAATTATATATAATTATATATTCTAATAATTGTAAATAATATTTTAAAGACGAAGTATTGTATATGTGTATATTAAAATATAAAAGTCATATGAATTGTGTGTGTATATAAACGTATGCAATATAAGAACATAATGCATATAAAAATTAATTCAATCATTAGAAATTTTCAATACATTAAACTTTTATTTATTTTTTATTTGAATAAAATCATTATTGTTGGCAGATTAAACTATATCTTATTTTAAACATACTCTATTATTAAATTTGAATAAAAAATTATCGTAAAAGTTTCCGTAAATAATTCTCAATTAAACTTAAATATTTTTTATAACTTCATAAGAGAAACTTCATAAAAATGGAAGCGATAAAAACATTTTACACATTCAGCATACTATAATTATGTAAAAAAAAGCTTTAAACACTATAATCATTAGTATGCGCATACTTATCATTGAGGTTTGATAACGTGACATAAAATATTGTAATCAAAGCTGTAGCATGATCTTAGTATTCATACAGTATACTTTACATAATATGCTAGATAATTGTTTCAGATAACATCCTACATGTTACAAAAAGAGGGCAAATGATATTTTGTAATTATTTTCTGTATATATATATATAGAAAAGGACAATTTGTGATGTTAATTCAGTAGTACAATAGGCATGCAACAAGCTAGCAATAAGTCATATTTTTAATAAGCCATTTTTCTATGTGTTGAGAATTACTCTCTTCAACGTCCCTTTATACCTATTTAAATAAACAATTTTTATAGTTTTATTTTTTTTAAATAAATTAAATTTTCAACAGATTTATTTTATTTTACAAAATAAGAATGGAAAAAAAATAAATTTTTTAAAATTATGTCTATGCACAATTATAACAAATGCAATTGCTATTCAAATATGACAATCATTATCGCTGCCATTTGAGCCTAATGATGCATGTTATTAAGGTGATATGCGTTTTAGTTATTCAAGTACGAACTCACACCGCCCTAACAAAAAGCGCTCTCTCACCCTTAAAAAGTTCTTATCATAAGGGTTAAATATATAGACGTTTGCTTTTAAGTTCCCTGCCGGAATGGCATCGCGACGCAAAGCAACGCGACGCGCTGGTTGCATCGATCTCTGCGCAAGTTTAGGATGTGATGTGTCATCGACGGAACGACGATGCGACGGCCGATCCCATGCACGATGCTATTATGATAATGCACTTCAAGAAATATGATAAACTGGGCGTGGCGTGGGCAACGACTATCATATTTCATCCCGTCAACCGGCTGGTCGATCGCTGGATAGCTTTGAGAGGCAAGTACTCGTAACTTAAAATAACATTTTTGACAGATTCTTGTTCTTGCGATTGGATAAATGAGTTGCAGAAATTATGAAATAAAGCATTAAGTCCAACTGCAGCTCTCAGATGGAACTGTTCAAAGATAAGTAGTGTAACAGCGTAATTGCAATTTTCTATGAATAATTCGCATCTATTTTCCAATAAAAATTTAACAAGAAGATGTAAGGTGTGATCTACTTGGTACTACAAATGTTTCGACAGATTTGATTGACCAATCGAAAGAAAGAATTTTACTCATTGACCAATAAAAAATGCATTGAAGCATTTGTAAATCATATTAAGTAGACACATACATAGCCATAGTTTATTTTATACATACAACATATTAGATTTAATGAATTTATCTACGTGTACTTAATTTATAAATGAATTGTGAAAAATATTATAAAATGAAGCAAATCTAGTTAAAAATCTTATTAATTGTAAGATGTAACTATTTGAAGATAAGCACAACAGCGTGATTGCAATTTTATATAAACAATCCTCATCTATTTTAATAAAAATTAAATAAGGAGATATGATCTACATATATTTCAAGGTTTTTTAATTAGTATGCCGCGACACACCAACATGCATGCTATAATCTTTCTAAATGAACCGTGAATATTTTAGAGAAGGTAAAAAGAAACAAAAAAATTTAAAAGTAAAAAAGCGAGCAAAATAAAAAGTATTTTAAAAATCATGAAAATTATATTTAAATTATATTGTGTTTACTCTCGTTTTAACCAAAGTGATATTATATTATTATTATAATAAAATCACTTTTAAAACAATAAAATAAAAACTAAAACTTTAGTTTATTTTATTGTTATTTTTATGTGTAGCGACATATTTGATAAATCTACGTTAAAGCGTGTACACTTCATGATATATCATACTTTGACTTTGGCTCATTATGTAATGCGTTGTAAATTAAAAAAGTTGAAAAATAATAATTTATTTTACATACAACGAACCAGTTTGAATTTATTCTTAGTTAATAAATAAATTGGAAATTATGAAAGTGCAGTTTTATGCAGGGACCGAAAGGTTTTTTCGATTTAGTTCTGGTTCCGGTTTAATAAAATATCAAACATTCTTGTTTCAGTTTCGATTTTTTTCTACTTACTTGCTTCATTTTATTTATTCTTTAAATTTATTCTATTAAGAAGAAGGAGGGGAGAAGAAAGAGAGAGAGAGAGAGAGAGAGAGAGAGAGAGA